AAAGCCGGAAGTGGCGCTGTGGCTCAAGTGGTAGAGCTAAAGAGCTAAGGGACAGCACCCAGGCCCAGAGTTCAGGTCCTATGACCGGACCCCCCCCCCTCAAAAAAAAAGAAAATGCTCAGTGAATTCAGATGCTGTTATAATTAGCTGCTTTCATTGTTATTGAGCCTAGGGCTTTAAATTCTACACTATGTCAACTACAGGTCTCTGCCTCACACCATATCATCATAGAAAAGCTCAACCTTTCAAAACATGAATCTCCTTCCTTCACATCTACCTGGGATTAGCCAAGATATAATAACCTTCATTATAGGAATAATAATAACTACTCTAACACCTACACATAAGTTGTTTTTTTTTCCTTGGATGTTTTTGTTTTGGTAAAGAGTATTCTGAGCTGTGACTGCCCACACTCTGTGGACATATGTCAAAAACACTGCTTCAAATAAAAAAAATGAATCTTTTTTCATAGCATCTCTCAAAAACATTCTAAGACCCACATAAAGAATACTATCTGGGGATGGGAATGTGGCTTAGTGGTAGAGTGCTTGCCTAGCATGCATGGAGCACTGGGTTCGATTCCTCAGCACCACATAAACAGAAAAAACTGGAAGTGGCTCAAGTGGTAGATTGCTAGCCTTGAGCTAAAGAAGCTCAGGGACAGTGCTCAGGCCCTGAGTTCAAGCCCCACGACTGGCAAAAACAAACAAACAAAAAAAGAATACCATCTGCTTAGTTTACAAATACAATAAACCATCTTGTATAGCATAGCTTTCAGCTGTAGTCTACTTTCTGAAAACGCTTCTCACTATGCGACCTAGAACTCTGAAGAACTTAGCCCTCTTCCTTTGCTATTTCATTCTCTAGTCCTTTTCAGAAACAATCAATCATCCTGTAAACTTTCTAGTCTCTTCTAGAAACAAACGTGGCTTCTATTTCCAAATTAAACACAATATAATTTAAAAACCATGTAGGAAAAAAGAAAAGGCTTCTAGACACTTGTTTCCTCTTTGCTCTGTACCTCTATCGGGAGGAATGGCTGCCGTTTAACTTAGGATTAAAGACAAAAATGATTACAATTACAAAAAAAGCTGGTATTAAGTGTACAAAAATGAAATTTTGTTCTTCTGTATTCCTTCTATTTTTTCAAGTCACCATACAGCTTGTTTAGAGACTGTATTTTAAATGTGACCCACCTTACTAAGGTCTTTGGCAGTGACACTGTCATCATCACGGCAGGGCAAGCGGTGGACAAATGCTAACATCTGATACTTGGCTCTGATGAATTCTGCTTTATTGGGACTGGTTCAAAAACAAAACAACAACAAAAACAGTTCACTTGCAGTTCAGATTCAGCATTTCCCATTCTTTGTATTGTAAGAAGAGGAAGTAACCCGCATCCCCCACCCCCTACTCGAGAATAAAACGAACAAAGATGGAATAGGTTTCAGCAGTGTTGAAGGCCTGAAGTCTGAAAACATACATTAGTCATTATAATGGTGGGTCTGCAGAATAACTGCTTTTTATAGCATGCCTCTTCTCTGTGTAATTTTCTTAATTCACTGTAAACTTAGGAGGAAGTGGCAGTTAGTTCCATCTTACAGGTGAGGAATCAGGCGGAATGGTGTTCCCAACTAGACTTCCCCTTCTTTTTAAGTCTGATTACAAGCAAGTCTTGGCCCCCAAGTGGTGAGATCACTAACTCATGTCAGGTAGCCATGGAGAAGTGGAAAGGTCCTGCCTGCTTCAGTCCAAGCTTCCAGCAGCTGCCCCACCCTGCCTCCCCTTGTGGAGGCTGATCAAAAATAGCTGCACTTTCAGCACACCCCATTTGTTGTGAAGAAACAGAAGTATTTATAAACATTCCACTCACTGTACTTTATCCTGTGGATTAGCTTTACGTCTTCCACTCATAATAGAGGCAGGGTCCAGCAAAGAATGCTCCCATATAGAGTTAGCACCATTGTTATACAAGGTCTCAACCATCTAAAATGAAGCAGTATGAAATTATGCATCTTAAATTCTTTCCACATATATTTGAAGGGAATCAGTGACAGAAATTATAAATACTAACATGTTTGGCATACCATTCATATCATTGTTTTCTGATTTTAGAGTGCGGAAGACCTATGCAGGATTCAATTCTAACAAGCAGGATAGCTAAATCCATAAATGGGTTCGGTTGTACTGTACACATACAAACATAGAAGTAGATAAAAGAAGTATAAACTTTGATACCAGTAATGTGTTTTCCAAGCCTGAACAAATACTGTTTTACTCAGATACCCTGAGTACTATTCACTTACTTTTCTTAAAATATACACATTTTAAAGAACTTTTATTAACAACTATGGTCTGATGTACCAGTAGTTTTGTATGCAACCATTAAAGCAAATATTGAGTATAGTATGCATCTTGAGTAACACTGCTGGCTTATGGTTCTTAGGATTTTTTTTTTTTTTGGTCTGTCATGGGGCTTGAACTCAGGAACAAGGTACTGTCCCTGAGCTTTTTTACTCAAGGCTAGCACTCTACCACTTGAGCTACAGCTCCACTTCTGGCTTTTTGGTGGTTAGTTGGAGATAAGAGTATCGTGGACTTTGCTGTTCAGGCTGGCTTTGAACTACAATCCTCAGATCCTCAGCCTCCTGAGTTGGAAGGATTACAGGCTTGAGCCATAGTGCCTGGCCAGTGTGGCTTTTTAAATAGACCTAAGAGCAATGCATTCCTTTTCACACAAGAGTAGGCTATTGGAAGCGTCTAAACAAAATATCTAAGCAAACAACATCTCAATTTCATTTCAAAGAATGACACTTAAATGACCCCATCTGCTTTTCACATTTATATCAGAGATCCAAACCCATGTGCACTGGTCCCTGGTTCATTCAGGCAAGTTAAAAGGAAATGGTATGCAGCTGCCACAGAAGACAAATAAAGCAAAACACATTTAATCAATTTCCAAGAGAACTTGAATACATATCCAACATAGAAGTACAGGTGATGTAACATCAGAACTGAAATAAGAGTCCACTCAACAAAGTATTAGGCATGCCATCAAAACATGTAACCTTAATTTGGTCTTTGACTAGTTAATGACAGCTTTAAGAAAATTTAAGTAAAATGTTTCAGAAATTTCATTGGAATTCTGGTCCAACTAAGTAGAAAAAAAAGTTTTTAAAAGTATTAGCAGGTATTCAGGAACAGAATATTAGTAAGAAGTTTCTCAGGATACTGGTGGCTCACTCCTGTAATCCTAGCTACTCACAAGGCTGAGATCCAAGGATCACAATTCAAAGCCAGCCTAGGCACAAAGTCTGTGAAACGCTTATCTCTAAATTAACCACCCCAAAACTGGAAGTATAACTGTAGCTCAAAGTGGTAGAGTGCTAGCGTTGAGCAAAAAAGCTCAGAGACAGTGCCTTAGGCCGTGAGTTCAAGCCCCAGAACTAACAAAAAACATTAAAATAAATAAAATTTCTCAGGAAGTAGTGTTCAGAACACTGAGCACACAGTATGTGGGAAGATTGACTATAAACTATTTCTAGTAACAGTTTAGAAAGTCAGCAGAAAAATACTATTGAAAATTCTACTTGCATATTTTAAATGTTAGATTTCTATTTATTTATCTCTGCATAAAACTGAACCTTTGGGCTGGGAATATGGCTTAGCGGTAGAGTGCTTGCCTAGCAAGCATGAAGCCGTTGGTTTGATTCCTCAGTACCACATACACAGAAAAAGCCAAAAGTGGCACTGTGGCCCAAGTGATAGACTGCTAGCTTTGAGCAAAAAGAAGCTCAGAGACAGTGCCCAGGCCCTGAGTTCAAGCCCCAGAACTGGCAAAAAAGAAAAAAAGAACCTTTGGTACAAGATTTACGTCAGGAGAGAAAAAAGTCCTAAATGAGGAATTCAGTACTGTTAAATATTTATACTATATGTGGAATTACTGGGCAAAGCACTTCAATTATGATGCAAATAGTTTATCAGACCTAAGAAGTACATGAAGAGAAATCTTATTTGTTAACAAAACAAGCCTTCAAACAAATTATGAATTGTAAGAAATCTTATCCTTTACCTGAAGCAGTGTTGGAGGCCACGGCGTGTGTTTAAGATGCCTTACTTGGGAGATATGACGCCCTAGACTCCGATGAACGCTGCAACACTCGTCACATATAAAAGTTCCCCTATTTACTGATGCCCAGGAAGGATCTGGAAGAGAATGAAATCTCATTGGCAAGGATCCCAGTGCTACTATATTTCAAGAAGGCAAAAGATGACTTAGGTTTTTTCCTGTGTGTTTCCCCGACCCCAACCCCTCCTCCCCGCCCCCCCCCGAAAAACAAGGCATTTTATTTGGTATACTCACTAACATATCAAGCTGGAGATCTTGTCTGCTGATACCACCTACCTTGGCTGACCAGGTAAATTGTTAGCTGAAACTAACAGCCTCAAATAAGCAGCTACTTTCTTTCTGGTTTAGGGATACAGTCTATAACCTGATTATGGATCTACAATCTCAGATGTATGTACTTTCATTTTATGTCAGAGAAGCAAATTGAGAGAATACAGATGAATCATTCTGGCTTCATCTCCACATAGAACAAAACAATATAATTTTGATTATCCACCTAGTGGTATCTACAGTAAACAGAGAAACAACTGCTGCCCCAACCCACTGGAAGAAGCCAACACATCTATCTGCTAACAGAAAGCTGTGAGTAACAGAACTATAAAACCACTCAGCTGCCATGGTCTGAGGGCAGGGAAATATGGCCCCCTGCACTAGGCAATGCTCTTTGATTACCACTGTTTTAAGCAAACTTCAGAGTCTAAGCTTACAACTGATGGGGGGGGGGGGAGAGAAGGAGTAATTTTTTTTTTTTTGTCGCGGTGGGGCTTGAACTCTGGGTCTATGCCCTATCCCTCAGCTCTTCAGCTCAAGCAAGCATGCTACCACTTGAACCACAGCTCCACTTCCAGTTTTCTGAGTGGTTTATTGGAGATAGAGTCTCATGGACTTCCTTGCCCGGGCTGGCTTTGAACCATGATCCTCAGATCTCAGCCTCCTGAGAAGCTAGGATTACAGGCATGAGCCACCAGCTCCCAGCTGCATACAATACTTACTTATCCTTTCAAATCCCACAGAATTTCATTAGACCTTCTTTCAAACAAGGAATAATTTACATCAGGCGAACAGGGGGAATCTGAGCACTAAGCCCAAATATTTACAGACAAGCCTTGCACACTTCATCAGATTCACAGAGGGGTGATAGTAGGTGCCACTCAAACTGCCTAGTCTAAGGGTTATATTTAAAAATTTTTCAATTGTCCACAAAAATCTCTAAAATGCATTCACATCATCTTTACCATTTTTTGGTAACCATTTATCCAAACCCTTTCATGAACCATATAATGAAAAGTTATGGGATTTCAATCAGACAAATCGTAGGAGCCAGAAAGTGTAGTGGTAAAGAGGCTGGATCTGGGGCCAGGAAGGTGGTTCAGCAGTAGAGTGCTTTCCTCGCATGCATGAGGCCCTGGGTTCGATTCCTCAGCACCACATAAACAGAAAAAAAGGCTGGAAGTGGCACTGTGGCTCAAGTGGTAACGTACTAGCCTTGAGCTGAAGAGCTCAGGGACAGTGCCCAGGCCTAGAGTTCAAGCCCCATAACTGACCAAAAAGAAAAAAAGAGGCTGGATCTGGAGACAAGCAGTCCATGCTTTGAATCCCAACTTGGACATTTATTGCACAGTAATCTGAGGCAAGTTACTATTTTGAGTGTATTCCCTGTATGTCAAATAAGTATAAAACACATCACAAGGAGATGACAATATAAAGAGCAAGTAAATGGCCTCTATACATCAATACTCAGTAATGTTAGCTGTTAGAGCTTTTGTGAATTATTTTCTAAAAAACTGAAATGATCATTGGAGAAAGTTTATGGTTGGAAATAGTTACAATATTGAATATTTCATGTGAACACCGTACAATTTCAGTGGAAATATTAGTGGAGTTTCCAGGTAATTCCAAGTTTGTTATACTTGAATAAATTTAAAACATAAACATATAGGTAGGCACTGGCAGCTCATTAGGAGGCCAAGATCTGAGGATTGAGATCCAAAGCCAGTCTTGTCAGAAAAATTATGAGACTCTTATCTCCAACTAACTACTAAAAAGCTGGAAATAGAGCTGTGGCTCAAGTAGTAGAGCACTAGCCCTTAATGGGGGCTAGTGGGGGGGGGGGAGTGCTAAGGGATAGCCTGGGTTCTAGCTAGGTCCCAGCAAACACACGCACATACACAAACACAATCAGGAATGTGGCTCACCATTTGCCAAGCTTTTGTGAGGACTGTCCCCAGGACACAGACACACATATAAATAAACTAAATAAAAAAAAAAACTGCTGGGCATGGTGGTGTACAGCACTCAGGAGGCTGAGACAAGAGGATCTGGAGTTTGAGCCTCTCTGGGCTCCATGATGAGACCTTGATTCAAAAAAGAAAAAAAATGTACCAGGTACTGGTGGCTCATATGTGTAATCCTAGCTACTCAGGAGGCTAAGATCTCAGGATTTCTGTTCAAAGCCAGCCAGAACAGAGAAGTTCAAAAGACTGTCTCCAATTAACCAGCAAAAAAGCTGCACTGAAGGGGTGGCTCAAGTGGTAGAGCATCAGCCAAGAGCAGAAAAAGCTCAATGAGAGTACAAGGTCTGAGATGAAGCTCCAGTACTGGCACACTCACATGTGTGTGTGTTGGCACACACACACACAAATTAGTCAATTAGATCTTAAAAGTAAATAAGATATCATAGTTAAATGCTTCCATAAATCATTCAGTGACATAACCATGAATACTCCGATGTCATCCTTAAGTTACCTTTTTTTCCCTTTAGATAGGAAACATTAAGATGAAGAATCCCTTAGAAAGACACATAAAAACATGGAACTAGAGGTATGGTAAAGCTCCAGCCATGAACAAAAAAACAGCAAGAGCTTGAGGCTGAGTTCAAGTCTCAGTATCAGCAGACACACACACATACACACACACACACACACACACACGCACACATATACATCTTAGGCAAGAACATAATTTTTTACAGGCAGTACTACTGACAAGATTGAAAGCATAATTTTGCTTTGCACATAGTATTCTTGGAGAAATTAACAGGAACAAGACGATAAGGATTTAACATATATTAAATGAGGTTCTCTGTTAATAATTTAATCATCATAAATCAGAATCCACAGGAAGAATATTAACATAGAAAAAACAAAACTGAGTACATATGAATGAGGCTGGATGAAAGCTTAGTTTACCTGGATGTTTTATGCTGAGACTATTGCATGTGGCATGTACAGACACCACAAATCATTTTCAAAAATGTGCCTTCTCAAATCTTAGGAAATTCTATATGAAAGAAAGTAGGCCCATTAGCATTTTCTGGGAGAAGACCTCAGCACCAGTATCTCACTAGGACAATGCAGAAAAGGCAGCATAAATTCCTAGCTACTCAGTTCACGGAGCATTTCAAGGTAGCCTCATTATATTCAAAACAGGAAGGAAGTGACTCAAGTCCCTGTAGATTAGACATTCAAGACAACTAAAACCATACAATGGAAGAGAAACTCTTCTGAAAAGCACAAAACACTCCAAAAGTGAAAGATAGCGCTTCAGAATGCCAATGGAGAAGCAAATTTACCTTTGCCCCAGATAATCCCTTGAGAAGTAGAAGACTATGGATCTCAAGAGGAAGTCTGACATTAGACACATGTGAATCCAATGCATCACAAAAAGTTCAACTGAAAACAGGCAAGAAAAGGAAGTGGAACAAAGAAAAAAAAAGTTTTCTCTAAACATATCTTTCGTAGAGAACCATGAAGTTTGTATAAACTTGGTTTATAAAAACACCTCTTTCAAAAACTCCTCATCCTGTGAAGAAAACCGTTACCACCACCTGCAGTACTCAAGCCATGAAATAATCATATGGGTTGAGTTATCACAGTACTATTTAAAATCAAGTCTTTCCTTCTAAATGACAAGGCGAAAATCAGAACAGCTGCAAAGGCACTGCTGTTCAATGATTTAATTAAGATGGTTTATTGGACATTGGTGTGCCAAGAAAGCCACCTGACATTTAAATCACTTCAAACTCAAATCTAATAGGTCCAAGGATGAAAAACAACATAGACTGTGCAAGATCTATCACTTTGGGCCCAACTGCTAAAACAGATCGGATCTTTAAATCCAGTTATTCTGCCTTGGAAAAAGTGGCTGTGGCTTTTCGAAGCCCCTAACATGTTTACATCACCAGTGACTGTGTTTGGTAAGTTGTAATTAATGTTGTAGCTTCGAAGGAAACTCTAGCTTTATGGCACTGAAACGGAATAACATAATACGAAAGAGGACCCAAAACAAAACAAAACTTAGGTGGCTCCTAAGAGTATCCATTGAATCTTCCTAACCACTGAGCATTGTGTTCCCACTTATCCCCATCGGAAAAAATGAGGAAATCAAGGCTCTGGAGAAGAGAAGTCACGAATCCAAGGTCATCCAAAAGCAACATTTAGTGTGAACCTAGGCCCTTCGGATCCACTAAACTTAAGCCATGCGTGGGCTCCTAAGTGCTGATTACTGTCCACCAGACCCCGACGCGGAGCTTCTCCCCGTGGAGGGGCTGCCGGGAGGTCCGGAGCAGGGCAGTCATCACCGGGGACCCTCCCTCCACAAGGGAATCCGGGAAAGTCTCAGTTCAGGGTCGCCTTTCGGGGTCCGAGGGGGTGCGTCCGGATAGTGGTGACACCTGCAGCCTGGCGGGGCGGGGGGGGGGGAGCCGCAGCAGGGAGAACGCCCGCATTTTACTTCTGTAAATTAGCCTTCCCGTGGATTGCCCAAACCCTTCCTGTCAGGGAGCGGCTCCAAGCCCGGCCTCGGCCCCGCCGCCTCCCTGGCCAGCCTGGAACCGAGCGAGGGGCTCGACGGAGACGGCGAGAGGGAGCAGCGGGCGGCGGCCCCCAGCCCGGCCGGCTGACAGGCCCGGGACCAGCCCCGTCCCAAGGCCACCCCGGGGCTCCACTAACTAGAACCCCGGCCTCGGAGTGCGGGGCTCGGCTGCAGGACCCACCCGGCCCGAGGGGGCGGCCCCGGGGATGGGGGTCCGGGCCGGGAGAGCAAGAAGGGAGCGGGCCCGGCTGCTGAGACTCACCCGGCCCGCTGCAGTCAGCACACACGTCGCTGCTCCGGAGCCGCTTCGACATGGCTCCAGCCTCCACCTGCCGGGACCCAGGGACCCCAGGACAGCCAAGGCAACTGCGGCTGAGGCGGCGGCAGCGCTTCCGCTCTAACGGGTCGCGGCGGCAGCGCTGGCAGCGGCGCCTCTCCCCTCAGCGCCTCACAAGCCGCAGCGCAACGCGCACGCGCGGGGCGGGGCCTGCCTGCGATTGGCAGGCCATGTGACCGGAAAGGGCATGCTTCCTGATTGCCATCTTGAGTGAGGGCAGGTGCCTGATCCAGCATCCTCTGTGAAGGCTACATGTATTTGGATCTTCCTTGCTAGAAGAGGTTCTCCTGCACCCAGCTCGGATTCCTAACAGAGGAAGCAGCACTATCTTATGACAGACCAGTACCACAGTATCACAAAGACAGGTTCACTTAGTCGTTCCTTTAATCAACAAACATTTGAGTACTTAATATATTCTACACACTGTTCCAGGCGCTGGCCAAACAGCAGAGAGCTTATGTTCTATTGAGGTGGATCTACCATAGAATAAGTAAAATACTTCATGGCTAAGGAGAAATGGAGTAAGTTATGAGAAAAGGAGGTATGTTTGCTCCATGGTAAAGCCTTCAATTAATCATAGCTCCTATTATTCTCCATATTATCCTTGTTTCGTAATTTCTACTTGGGATTCAAGAATTAGAATAGCTAACCTAGAATGATTAACCAGATGCTATGAGTAAAATACAATAAAATGAGATTAGTGGGAAAATAGGTGAGCCTAACTAGTGAATAGTTATTGTGTTACCTTTTGTTTCTTTGCTTCTGTTGGTACTGGGATTTGAACCCAGGAAGGGACTCTACCATTTGAGCCACACACACAGTCCTGCATGCATTACATGTAAACACAACTATGACCTTTGTTCAGCAAATACTGGATGCTTCCTGAAGGTCAGCTACTGTTTTGGTTTTAGGTAAGTCAAATAGATGTGGCCACTGCCATTGTGGTGTTTCAGACTAATGATACTTTAGAAGTGTTGAGTAAGCATGGGATGTTGAAAAGAAATGAATAAGTATCGTAAGACTTTTGAAAGAATGAGATGTCCCAAGAAGAGGCTTCAGCGGTGTTAGTGTAGAGTTCGTCTCTCCAGTGATAAGTGTGTAGGTAATATAGAAATAAACATGTAATTTCCACACTTTCCACAGTTAGAGCCTCTGGGTGTCATCCAAATGTTCCTGTACCCTGTTTTAGCTCAACTCACAAATCTTCTGGGCTTCAATCCACATGGGTGGAAAATGGATTAGAACAGGATTCTTCGACAGCTGTTGCAGTCATCTGAAAAGCTTAATGGAAATAATGCAGAAAAGGCAAGAGGAATGTTTTCAGGATGCATGGAATAATTTTACTTAGCTATGTGGTCTAGTTATAGACAGCTGGACAGAAGAAGGACTTGGTTTTCATTGAGTCAGGGATGAGTTTAAGTTTTGCAAACTGTGGTCAAAGCTTGGATTAGTCCTTTGAGTCGTAACCCCAAATCCAATTTTGGCTAACTTAAAAATGGTACTCCTGTGTACTGATGGCTCACACCTGTAATCCTAGCTACTTGGGAGGTTGAGATCTGAGGATCACAGTTTGAGGCCAGCCTGGCCAGGAAAGTCTGTGAAACTCTTATTACCAATTAACCATCGAAAAGCCAGAAGTGCCCTCTGTACAGTATTTTCACATACACACACACACACACACACACACACACACACACACACAAAAGCCAGAAGTGGAGCTGTGATTCAAATGGTTGAGCACAAGACTTGAGTGAAAAGGCTAAGGGACCAGTGTCTAGCGTCTGAGTTCATGCCCCAGGCTGGGCATGCATGCATGCCCTCCTCACACACACACTGGTACACATGTGGAATAAACCACCCCTGGAGGTAACTAAATCATAACTTTGGAATATAGAACAGTGTTTCTCTGGAAATTTCTGGAGTTGTGTTTTGAGGATAGGGAGGCTAGGGCTGTTCATTATCCTACGAAGCATTGGATAACTTGCACAGGAAGCCAGTCAGGGCTAGAAAAATTTGTGAGACTCTTTCCTACACTAAACTACCCAAAAACCCGGAAGGGAAGCTGTGGCTCACGAACTAGAACACTAGCCCTCAGCAAAAAAGGCCTGGGACAGCACCCAGGCCCTGAGTTCAAGCCCTAGGACCAGCACCCAAAAAATAAATAAAAATGTTCCAAGGCTGAGAAATATAAAAAGGTAGATGTATTATTATTCAGCTACCTGAAGCCACTTCCCTAGGGTTTTAAAGATCCACCCTTGAAAATTATTTGGTGTTGCCCACTTCCAAAATGGCTCCTGACCAGTCATGGAAGGATCTGCACTGGTCCAAAAAGCTGGCAAGGATGCCAGTAGCCAGAATGGTTTGGCCCAAGCCGCTGTTGTCATCTCCCCCCGCCCCCCTCCACCGCAGAGTCAATGGAAGAGGCCCAGTTGTGGAGCGAACCAACTCAGGTGCCTCGAGCAGGAGGGTTATTTCCTCGAGACGGGTAAAACTGAGCTTTCCTCCTTGAGATCTCGAGCCAACTCCGAGAACTGAAGCTCTGCCTCGGGCTTTCATTACGGTTCGTGGTGTTGGATTGGCGATGGGTGGGATCGGGTGGATCTGGGACCCGTTGCAGCTCCTTGTCCCCCCCCCCACCTCGGTGCGCAGTGGTTCGCTCTCCGTACTTCCCAGTTTGGGGCAGTTCGGGTCGCAGAAGTCGGTTCCGGAGCTGTCAGCGAGGGCGCGAGCGCGTCGGGGCGCGGGGTGGGCGCGGCCGACCCGGTCCCCGACCCGGCCCGCGACCCCTGGCCTTTCGCGCGCCCCGCACCCGCTTGCCAGGCGGCGGACGGAGTATCGCTCTCTTCGTCCGTCCGCTTGCCGGAGTTCTCTAGATCGGCAGCCGCCGGACGGACGAACAGACAGGCAGACGCCGGAGACCCCTCCCGGGTTGAGGCTCGTGGGCCGGCCGGCCATCCGCGCCGCGGCATCCTCGCCATGTCCTCGGCCCGCGACGCCCGCGGTCAGTTTCCCCTGCACCTCCTGGTCTGGAACAACGACTACCGGCAGCTGGAGAAGGAGCTGCGGGACCAGGTGAGGAGGGGGCGGAGGGAGCCGGGTGGTTGCCAGCCTTCAGTGCCGAGGGGATCTCGCCCTCGCCTTCGGCTTTGCGATCGTGGGACAGTAATCACAGTAGGGCATGTATGCGGCGCTTGCTGTATGCCAGGCCCTGTGCCGAGGGCTTTTCTTCTTCTCCTCTTTTGTCATTATCCTTGTAACCTTGCCAAGAACGCCAGGGGGTAGGCAGAGAGGTAGGTAGGTAGGGAGGGAGGGAGGGAGGTAGGTCGGTAGGTCGGTCGGTGAGAGGTGTTGGTATTATTCTGACTGGGAAGGAAACTGAGGCTCCCAGAGGTTAGTTGCTGCCACTCTGTTCATTAATACCAAGTCGGCATTTTATCTCAGGGCGGCTAGCTTGCAGAATGCAGTCTTAACCAACTGCCTCAAAGACTTAGGAACAGCACACACACTCACACACACACACACACACACACACTCACACACACACCGTATTCCACCCATTCTTCCGAGAAAGAGCTTGGTTCTTGTTTTTTCTTTTTTTTTTTTTTAAGACCAGGTTCTAACTTGCCCTGTGACCTTGGGCATGGCATTTTTTTTTTTTTATTATGAGGCCCGTAGTAACAGATTTTTAGAATGAGGAAGTTGATGGGGATGTATGCAAACTCAGTACTGGACTCTATTATTGATGATTCTAGGGGGGAGGGGGAGGGGGAGGCTTAGCAATAAGCAATTAACAAGCTTCCAGGGAGGCTGGTCCATGGGAAAGTTTGCGAATCATTGGTGCTCAGGGTCCTTTAAAATCCCTTCCTGTTCTAACATGTTTTGATTCTTTATCTTTTATTTATTGCCATCTTTCTAAAGAAGTGGTTTTCAGTTGGAGGCGATTTTGACACAGAGGGGGGGGAGGAAGGGAGGAAGAGGGAGGGAGAGAGAGAGAGAGAGAGAGAGAGAGAGAGAGAGAAAGAGAGCCCCACCTCTCACCCTGACATTTGGTAATGTATGGAGACATTTTTGGTGGTACCTGAGGAGGAGGAGCTGGTGTACTGGTATCTTAGTTGAGTCAAGGCCAGGGATGCTGCTAGTCCCACAATGCACTAGGCAGCCACCCTCAGCAGGGAATTAATCTGTTCTGAATGTCATAGTACCTTGGAGAAACCTTGTTTTAAAGGCCAGCAACTCCAGTAGGTGTTAGTGCCCACTAGTTACAAACTAACCAATTCAGGAAGTAGGATAAGGATTTGTAACTGCTCCTGAGATTAAGTATAATTCTTATCTTTAGCTCCATTCATTTTATCCAGCGTGTTAAAGACCTGCTTTAGAATGGCTTCAAATTGACCCTGTAATAATTGTCATGAACTTTTAGAGGAAAGGGAGCCTTGGTTCTCTTCAGGTTGGTAAAAAATTGTGCAAGGTCAGCGTCACCCCATTTGACCCATTATTGCTAAGTGCTTGCTTGCAGCCTGCCATGTTTATTTAAAGTTGGTTAAGCATCTGCTGGATGTCAAAAAGTCTTTTTTTTTTTCCCACCTAAAAAAGAATTCCATACTGGGCAATGGAGCTACCTGCCTGTGATCCAGACAACTCTGGAGGCTGAGGCAGGAAGATGTACCTTGGAGGCTCACCTGGACACTTTAGCAAGACCCTGTCTTAGAAAAAAAAATAGCAGAGCAAGGTTTTATAAGAGTCACTGTAATCAATTAGATGACACAGTAACTATTTAATTGTTAAGGTGATATGGCACATGCCCCTAGCAAAATGACTCACCATTAGGTATCCCAGTATACCTGATGATTTAATTCTTATTCTATTTCTAGACATGACCCAGAGCCAGGGCAGTCTCCAAGATTTTTTTACTCTTCCCCTCTCACTGCCCCTATCTTCAGGCTTGAATTCTAGGTCTGGGCGCTGTTCCTCAGCTCTTCAGCTCAAGGCAAGCACTCTACCACTTGAGCCACAAGGCCACTTCCCATTTTCTGGTGGCTTATTGGAGATAAGAGTCTCATGGGTTTTCCTGCCCAGACTGGCTTTGAACTGCAATTCTCAGATCTCAGGCTCCTGAGTAGCTAGGATTACAGGCGTGAGCCACTGGCACCTGGCTTACTTTTACATCTGTGTCTCACCATTTCTATCCTGGTGTATGCCTATGATCTCAGCTTCACTTGAAGCTGACACGGGAGAAACACAAGCTTGAGGCCAGCCTGGCAACATACAAGGAGTGTTAGGTGCAGCTTAGTGGTAGACACTTGCCTAACAATCCAAAGAGGGAAGGAAACAACCCCAATAGTTCTGGTTTTTAGGGGACAGAAATTTTTATCTGTACCTTTCATTATTGTAGCTGCCCCGCTTATGCAATATTAAACAAAAATGAGAGAATTAAAGTCCTATTGAATAAAAAAAAAGTTTCATTATCATTAAACCACACTTTTTTTTTTAAACTGGTGCTGGTACTGGAGCTTGAACTCAAGACCTCTTGTTCTCACTTAATCCAAACAATCCTCTTTCAATCCTGATTGCTGAAAACAGCAGGCTTTTTACCATCATTGGAGGTGAAGTTAAGAGCTAAATGTTCATTAAAACAAGAACAAAGTCTTGGTTTATAATCTAAAGTGTGACATAGTAATCTTTCTGCCTGCAAAATGTGATAAAAGTAGCTATTGAAAATTCTCTGCACTTTTTTTCTTCTTCTTTGTATGCCAGTCCTGGGGCTTGAACTCAGGGCCTGGGCACTGTCCCTGAGCTTTTTTGCTCAAGGCTGGTGCTGTGCCAATTGAGCCCAGCTTAACTGAGATAAGAGTCTCACAGACTTTACTACGTGGGCTGGCTTCAAACCATGATCTTCAGATCTCAGGCTCTGAAGTAGCTAAGGATTATAAGCATGAGCCACTCTCCCCTGGCTCTCTGTGCAAACTTTAAGGACATTTGTATTGAAATTTGGGAATTAAAATCTTTAAGATGACTTTCCTAGAGTAAACTTTATGTTCTTAATGCCCTTATCTAAGGTTGAGGAAGAATATTCATACTTGCTAAGTTTTTTTTGGTTTGGTTTAGTGTGCTTTTTCCTCTAGTTCTGGGTATAGAATTCAGGACACTACCACTAGATTTCCCAATCCTTTTGCTCTTGTTTTGTTTTGTGTTTTTCAACTAGTCTTTTGATTTGGCCTGGGCTGGCTTCAGACTGTGACCCTCTTACCTCCGCCTTCTGAGTAGCTGGGTTTATAAGTGAATGCCATCATGCTTGGCTAGGTGGTTTAATGTTGTTATCAGCTATTATTATGGGACATCTCATAGTCTAGCAGTTTCTTCTAGGGAGGAGACACTGACGTGCACATCTTGATGGGGAAGCTTGACTGTCATAACCCCTCATCTTCGCCATCAAAGGGGCTCAGACAGGGAAGTTGCACAGGCCCTTCATGACTGGTTGAATGTTCTGCTGTCACCACCTAGAAATTCTTAACTATTTGAGTCTGGGTTGGTACTTAATCTTTTTTTTTTTTTTGTCAGTCATTGGGCCTGGGCACTTCCCTCAGGTCTTCAGCTGAAGGCTAGCGCTCTACTGCTTGAGCCACAGCACTGCTTCTGGCTTTTACTGTCTATGTGGTGCTGAGGAATCGAACCCAGGGCCTCATGCATGCAAGGCAAGCACTCTACCACTGAGCCATCTTCCTAGCCCCGGTATTTAATCTTGTAAAGATGAGGAGAGTGACCCTGGAAGCTAACTCTTGCAGTGCTGTGCTGCAGTGTTGTTGTTGGTGGTGATGGTGGTGGTGGTAGTAGTAGTGGGGTGTGTGTGTGTGTGCGCGTGCGCGTGCATGCACGCATAGTTATGAATTTATTTTGGACACCAGCCTTCTGTGGCTAGACTCTTCTGAGTCCCATATTCGAGATGGGAAGAGAGGCTCAGGTACATACTTCACTGTCTGAGTCAGAATTTAAACCTAGGAAGTTGAACTTATTCTAAATCCACCATTCTTTTTTTTTTTTTTTTTTGGTGCCAGTTCTAGCTGGACCTTTATATTGCTCTACATCTGGCTTTTGGGTGGTTAATTGTAGTTATGAGTCTTAACAAACTTTCCTGCCTGGGCTGGCTTTGAACCACAATCCTCAGATCTCTTCTTCCTGAGTAGATAGGATTATAGGCATGAGCTACTGGCCCCCAGCATTGAGATGGATTTTTTTTTTGGTTGTGGGGCCTGAACTCTGGGCCTGGTGTTATCCCTCAGCTCTTCAGCTCAAGGCTATTTTCTACCACTTGAGCCACAGTGCCACTTCTGGCTTTTTCTGCTTATGTAGAGCCCAGGGCCTCATGCATGCAAGGCAAGCACTCTACCACTTGAGCCACCTTCCCAGCCCCAAGATGGATTCTTAATATGTAGCCTAGGCTGGCTTTTACTTGAGCTCTTCTACCTCAGCCTCCTGAATGTTGGAATTATAGGTATGTACCATCATGACAGACTGTTGGAGAGTTATTCGTTTATATTCATATAAGAGATAATAGTATCACAGTTTTCCTATGATACATTCATCATCAGGGTAATACTGGGCTCATACAGTAAGCTAGTAAGTTTTCCTTTCCCTTCTTCATTTAATTGAACTTGAAGGTTTAGTTTATACGATAGAAATATAGGAAGATAATGAATCCAATAATTATTTCTTTCCTGCTTTGTTCATAGCTCCTAAGTTTATAACCCTGTTATTTTTTTCAGGAAAATAGTTACTGAATGCAAGTTAGAGACTCATGTAGCAGAGCTCTGCCTTTTGGAGTTCTCAATTTCTTTGGTGTGATAGATAAGCCATTCTCTTGGGAAAAGGTGCTGTGACCCCCGCTGTGTCAGGAGACACGATGCTACAGTAGTCTCCCCTTTGCCAGACATCACTTTTTGAGATCTCATGTATCTGTGGCCGATCACGGTCTGAAAACAGGAAATATAAAATTGCAGAAATAAACAGTGCTTCTTTTAATTGCATGCTGCTGTGAGTAGCATGTTGGAATCTCCTGTCATCCTGTTCCATCCTGCCAGAGATGTGATTTGCCCCTTTGTGGAGCGAATCAACACTTCGTCTGTTGTCCACCCGTCAGTCACTGTACCACTTTCAGTGTCAGATTCACCATTGTGGTGATAGCTCAGTATCTGATTTTTCTCCACAAGGGCCCCAAAGCACACAAGAATACTGATACTAGAGAGATGCTCAAAACTGCTTCCTTCAAGTGCCGAGGGGAAATTGTTCATTTATCCCACACATGTGTGCACAGGAAAAATGCCATATACACATAGAAGCTGGTACTAGGCTTTATTTTAGGCATCCACTGGGACTTCTGGAACATATGCCATATGTGTCTCCGCCATTCTTCCCCCCATGTCCCCCCAGCTCTGGAAAAGGGGCTTACTGTATTTCAGCACCTGGGAGAGCACTAAGACCTGGGACTGGTCCAGAAGGCCTGGTACTCAGCTAGCAGCGCTTTCAACCACTTTTCCTATTCCTTGAGTAACATAATTTTAGTAAAACAGAAGAGTTGTCTACTCAGAGTCCCACTTCCTTCCTAAGTGGCTCGTTGTATGTCTTTGGAGACTTTAGTGAGTGCCCTGGGGCATCCAGCCTTTTCAAACAAGATAAAGCACATTCCCTAAGAAGTGCTGTGACACTTAAAAATGGCTTAGGACTGCCAAAACTGCTGTGGAGCAGTTCTTTGTGTCCTTGGAAGAACTTGCGGAGCCCTACGGCAGGCAGTGCGTCAGAGAATCTGCAGCTTGCCTTTGTAGCTCCCACATGGCACTAAAAAGAGGGCCGAATAGCAGAATTGGGATGAAGAGCTAAAGGCCAGATTTGTATGTCTAGCTCCAGGAAAGATGTCCAGGATGGATGAAGTGACATGTGTCATCTGCAGACCACACAGCACACCCGTAATCAGAGGGACCCACAGATGCCCCTGGAGGTCATGTACTACTCCAGGGTACTTAGAACTCAGTACACATCCATGAAAGAGGATTTTTTTGTGAATCTATCTACAGGATATAATTTTATTCTGACATGGATTATTGTCTGTGTTTTGAGTTTTGAGTATGTCCTGTACTTTGGTGCTCTGTGTAGTAGCTGACTGTACTTCGTGAAAGCCTCTAACCTTTTTTAGATTTGAGTGCTGACAAGAGATTTAGGTTGTAGTAGGTGATGTAAGGCTAAGAGTCATGTGTAACTATTAAGCTTTTATACAAAGAGGAACTCATCCCTTAAAAAAAGTTTTAAGGGGGCTGGGAAGGTGGCTCAGTGGTAGAGCGCTTGCCTTGCATGCCTGAGGCCCTGGGTTCGATTCCTCAGTACCACATAAGCAAAAAGAAAAAAGCCAGAAGTAGCGCTGTGGCTCAAGTGGTAGAGCGCTAGCCTTGAGCTGAAGAGCTCAGGGACAGCACCCAGGCCCAGAGTTCAGGCCCCATGACTGGACCCCCCCCAAAAAAAATTTACTTGAAAAAGTTTTAAGGGGCTGGGAAGGTGGCTCAGTGCTAGAGCGCTTGCCTTGCATGCATGAGGCCCTGGGTTCGATTTCTCAGCACCACATAAGCAGAAAAAGCCGGAAGTGGCGCTGTGGCTCAAGTGGTAGAGCACTAGCCTTGAGCTGAAGAGCTGAGTGACAGTGCCCAGGCCCAGAGTTCAAGCCCAGGACTGGCAAAAAAAAAAAGTTTTAAAAAGAGACAGTAATTATCTTTATTTATAGTCCCTAAACTCATATTTCAAATGTGCCTTAACATATTGCTGTAATTAGTGTGTAAATACCATTTTCTCCTCTTTGTACTTAAGGCAGCTATCAAGCATGTTATGTTCTTAAGTATTTAGGTGTATTTAGTGCCAGTGTTTTATTTTACAGAATGTGGAGGCTCTGGATCCTCGAGGTCGAACATTATTGCACCTTGCAGTTTCTTTGGGACATTTGGAATCTGCTCGGGTCTTGCTCCGACATAAAGCAGATGTGACCAAAGAAAATGGCCAGGGATGGACAGGTAAGCATACTTCAAAAAGTAATTTCAAGTCATTCATTTTACTTCCTCTTTCTGAAAAAGACTAGTTTCAATCATGATTTTCTTCCAAATGAGTTGAACTTTTTTTTTTTTTGGTTGGTCGGTCATGGGGCTTGAACTCAGGGCCTAAGCACTGTCCCTGAGCTTCTTTTGCTCAAGGTCAGCACTCTCCCACTTGAGCCACAGCACCACTTTAGCTTTTTCTGTTTATGTGGTACTGAGGAATTGAACCTGGGGCTTCATGCATGCCAGGCAAGCACTCTACCACTAAGCCACATTCTCAGTACTCAATTGGCCCTTTCTAGGGACAGTTTAGGGGCAAGGAGATTAGAACGGGGCTGCTGCCAGGCAGGGCTGACAGGTCTATAGCACAGTGACCTGATCCCTTGGTAAAGGGTGATGGCTCTTGTAGAAAGCTCTCATGCAAACTTGTCCTATTATACGTGAATTCTGAGGCCAATTTTAACCTGCAAATATGGTCAGATCCCCACTGGGTCCATCAGAGTAGGCAAAAATAAAAAAGAGCCAGATGCCCGTAGCTCACACCTGTAATCCTAGCTACTCAGGAGGCTGAGATCTGAGGATCTCGGTTCAAAGCTAGCCCGAGCAGGAAAGTCTGTGAGACTCTTATCTCTAATAAACCACTCAGGAAACCAGAAGTGGTGCTGTGGCTCAAGTGGTAGAGTACTAGCCTTGAGCTGAAGAGCTGAGGGACAGTGCCAAGGTCCAGAGTTCAAGCCCCACGACCAACAAAAATAAATAAATAAAAAAGAAATTATTGTTAGAGACAGTCTCTTCTGAGTCTGTGAAATCTTGGCATTTTGTCATTTTTTTCAAGCTCTATTACTATTAGCCAAGCAAGGATATACTCATAAGTAAGTGCAGTTCTACCTAATTAACTACAAGTAATCTCAGTGTGTGAGCACATAGTGAGGGTTTGCTGTCTGAAACCCTGTCAAGGCTTCAGAACCAGCAGTGAAAAGGGAGCTAGGATCTGGAGGCTATGGGTGCCTGTTTGCTTTTACACAGCTGTGAGCTAGCAATCAGAAGTCAGGGTCCAGCTGCATGCAGCCTTTGTCCCTCTTTGAGGCAAATATTGGTTTTCAATCTATACAGATAGCTTTTCAGATTGGCTTTTTGGAATTGATTGGAAAGTATGAGAAGACAGAATTGATCAGCATGTATGAGAAGACTTGGCCATTAACGTCCCCCTTTTATTTTCCAGTCTTACATGAGGCTGTGAGCACTGGCGATCCTGAGATGGTATACACAGTTCTTCAACATCGAGACTACCATAACACATCCATGGCCCTTGAAGGAGTTCCTGAGCTGCTACATAAAATTCTTGAGGTAGCCAGAAACCTGGGCTTGAACTAAATGCTGCTATAATAGCTGGAGACATCCATATTCATCTCCTTGAAAGATTCATGAACAGTGAATATGGCATTTTGATGGCCACTTAGCACCAGTCCTGCCTGTTCACCTTGTCAAAGTGTGGGGCCTCTCACAAAGTATGTTTCAAGGTCATCAGGCTTGCCATTTTAAGTGCTACTTAAAATGATCACTTAACTGGACACAAAACAGTTTGTCCAGGTACCTATTTTCTTCAAAGCAGTATCTAGAACAGAGGTTACCTTGAGAAAATGGTGGCGAGCACAGTGATGGTGCAGGCATTTTCAGGCCCTGCCGAGGCTCCAGGGTCTGTGTGTGGCTCCTCCTTGCCCTTCTCGTCACTTTGAGCCATTTATATTTTGTCACTTTTAGCCCATTTCCTTAACTTATCTATACTTAAAGCTTTGGGGAAAGTTTATCTAATCTTGAGAAGTAAAATATAGGAGCTCTGTGACCCCCAGTGACCTTTCATGGATGGTTTGGAATGATGGCTGCCTCATTAGGATAATCGGTTGTGAAGCCTGAACTCTGGGCCTGGGTGCTGTCCCTCAGCTCTTCAGCTCAAGTCTAGCACTCTACGATTGATCCACAGCGCCACTTCCAGCTTTTTCTGCTTATGTGGTGCTGAGGGATCAAACCCAGGGCCTTATGCATGCAAGGCAAGCGCTCTACCACTGAGCTACCTTCCTGGCCCTGGGATAATCTTAATTACTTGAAAGAACCATCTTATCAGTCAGCCATGTGTAATATTCCCAGGGTAGCAGCAGACAAGAAAGCAGCAGTGACTCAGTTTTCGGTGTTGTTTATTCTCGTCTTAAGTACAAAAGTGAGTTTCTTGCAATAACTCCTAAGATATCTACTAGTTAAATCAGCTTTACCACTTTAAAGTACATCTCTTTAGAAAAATCAATTAGAAAAATCAATAGCCCTATCAAGAAGAGTAACAACTTCATTATAAGATGATTGTTGTGTGTTAATTGAGTATTCTTTAATTTTTTTTCTAAGCCATAACTAAGATATTCCTTTACTAGGTGGCAGAATGCAATTTCCCATAAAATATGAAATAGTTCATGCACTATTTTCTTTTTTTTGGGTCCGGTCATGGGGCCTGAACTCTGGGCCTGGGCACTGTCCCTCAGCTCTTCAGCTCAAAGCTAGCGCTCTACCACTTGAGCCACAGCGCCACTTCCGGCTTTTTTCTTTTTGCTTATGTGGTGCTAAGGAATCGAACCCAGGGCCTTGAGCATGCAAAGTAAGTGCTCTACCACTGAGCCACCTTCCCAGCCCCCTCATGCACTATTTTCAAAACAGATACATGTTTAGGATTGTGCAAAGGTCACATGGGTTTATTGTTTTCTTATCTAGCTTACTGTAGGAGGAACTAAAAACATACATTTGGTGGGGCAGCAAGTGACTTATTTAACATGGGGTCACACTTCACTTAAAAATACAGTGTAAATTTTTTTTGCCAGTCCTGGGGCTTGACTCAGGGCTTAGGCACTGTTTCTGAGCTTCTTTTGCTCAAGGCTAGCACTCTACCACTTGAGCTACAGCACTACTTCTGGCCTTTTCTGTTTATATGGTACTGAGGAATCAAAACCTAGGCTTCATGCATGCTAGGCAAGCACTCTACCACTAAGCCACAGTGCTAGCCCATGAAAGATTTTCTTTTTTTACCTGTATTGATCTATAGGAGTAGACTACACTGATTTGTACTCTGAGGCTCTGGACAGCCATTAAATGGCTTGTGTGTTTAGTGGTACCAGAGGCTATTGTTGACATGGTGTTTTTCAGCAGAATCTCCTTATAAAGTATGCTGACATTTCTGATCAGCTACCTCCATCAGTTGGTTTAGCTCCAAGTAGATTCCTGGACCTCCTACCTAGTGCTTCTGTAAAAACCCCAAAACCTTGGGGGACAAGAAAACACCTGGAAGCTGAGTGCTGGTGGCTCACGCCTGTAATCCTAGCTACTCCAGAGGCTGAGATCTGAGAGTCATAGTTCAAAGCCAGCCTGGGTAGGAATGTCCATGAGATTTTCATCTCTAGTTAACCACCAGAAAGCCGGAAGTGGCTCTGTGGCTCAAAGTAGAGTTCTAACCTAGAGGAACAAAAGCTCAGGGACAGCACTCAGGCCCTGAATTCAAGTCATACAACTGATGAAAAAAAAAAAAGAGGAAAAGAAAAAACATCTGGAATCTCTATATTTGTCTTTTTGAATGGTAGCTGTTGGATTTTTTTTTTTTTTGGTTGGTTATGGGGCTTGAACTCTGGGCTTAGGTGCTATCCCTGTGCTCTCCAGCTCAAGGCGAGTGCTGTACTGCTTGAGCCACAGTGCCACTTCCGGTTTTCTAGTGGTTTATTGGAGATAAAAGTCTCACGGACTTTCCTGCCCCGGCTGGCTTTGAACCACGATCCTCAGATCTCAGCCTCCTGAGTAGCTAGGATTATAGGCATGAGCCACTGGTACCTGGCTGTTGGATTTCTTAAGTAGCTCTTCAAGACCCTTCTGAAGATATTAATGATGTATAAAAAAATAATCCTAAAGAAGACTGCTCTAGTAATATAAAACTGCCGAAAGCCAAATACTGAAAGTTTAGGAGGACATTGGGGCACAATCTTTTTAAGGTACCAGAGAGAAAAATCACTTCAGGAAGTGATGTCTAGCAGCCTCCTGTTTTAGATTCCCAAGGCAGTCCAGTAAATCTGAAGTACTTTCTAGTCAAGTTCCCCATAGAGCTGACAGAACTGAGTTCCTCCTCTTTTTTGAGGCTAGACTGTGGCCCACAGCGTATGGCGATACTTAAGCTCATCTTCCTGTTACTGTTAGGAACCTGACTGAATCCCCTTTTATTCCCTTCCAACCTTGTCACTTTCTGTTAATTTCTTTACTGTCTAGATATATATAATATCAAAGTAAAACAACAGCTTTAATATAACTTTTCATTTCAGTGGGTTTGCACTTGATTTTTATTCTCTGTTCTCCTTTTTTCCCCTCTCTAAAACCCTATTAATCCTTGCTATGCTTGTATTTAGCTAATGGCATGAATGATCATGTATTTAAAATCTTCATCTTGGGCTGGGAAGGTGGCTCAGTGGTAGAGTGCTTGCCTTGCATGCATGAGGCCCTGGGTTCAATTCCTCAGCACCACATAAAGCAGAAAAAGCTGGAAGTGGCACTGTAGCTCAAGTGGAAGAGCAGTAGCCTTGAGCTGAAGAGCTGAGGGACAGCGCCCAGGCCCAGAGTTTAGGCCCCATAACCGACCAAAAAACAAAGAACCTGACCTACTTCGTCTCTCCTTCAGGCGCCAGATTTCTATGTACAGATGAAGTGGGAATTTACCAGCTGGGGTGAGTAGCAGTAGGTTTGAATTTATTTCTGGGATTTCTCCTTTTCCATGCTGGCTTGAACTCCTTAACCATTCTCCTGCCTCTCACTCCTGAGTGCCTCATTAGGTGTGCACCACTATGCCTGTCCATCTTACTAGTTTCCTTTTTTTTTTTTTCTTTTTGTCAGTCATGGGGCTTAAACTCTGGGCCTGAGCGCTGTCCCTGAGCTCTTCAGCTCAAGGCAAGCACTCTACCACTTGAGCCATGATGCCACTCTGGTTTTCTGGTGGTTAATTAGAGATAAGAATCTCGTGGATTTTCCTGCCTGGGCTAGCTTTGAACTGCAATCCTGAGAACTCAGCTAGGATTATAGGCGTGAGCCACCTGCGCCCAGCCTTTTTTTTTCCTTTGCTTAAGAGCATACAGTAGTTATACAGGGAAAATTTCGTGTTCTAGTCCACACATGCTTACCATGTTTCCTAGTCATTCTCTTCTCTATCTTTCCCTGTCCTCCCTGCCCAAAACATTTCAACAGGTTTCATTGTTGTTTTCGCAGTTGCAAACAATCTGCTTTGGCCAGAATAAAATATCACTTTAAATTATGAAAATTTTAGTAACCAGACTTCCATGATTTCGCTTGATTCTGTCAGACTTCCTGTTCTGGGGAAGAAAGTGAGATCATTGTTAGAACAAGCAAGTGAGAGTGTGTGTATGTGTGCACATGTGTGAGCATATGTGTGCTGGTACTGGGGCTTGAGCTCAGGGCCTTGCACTCTGGCTTGGCTTTTTCACTCAATGTTGGCACTCTCCCACTTACGCCACACCTCTGCTTCTGGTTTTTGCTGCTAAATTGGAGAAAAGAGTCTGTTGAGTTTTTATATGCCTGGACTGGCTTCAAGGCTTGGTCCTCGGATCTCAGCCATCTGAGTAGCTAGGATTACGTGTATGAGCCACCAATGCTCCGCAATGAGAACATTTTTTTTTTTGCCAGTTGTGGGGCCTGAACTCTGGGTCTGGGCACTGTCCCTCAGCTCTTCAGCTCAAGGCTAGTGCTCTACCATTGAGCCACAGTACCACTTCCAGCTTTTTCTGCTATGTGGTGCTGAGGAATCGAACCCAGGGCCTCATGCATGCAAGGCAAGCACTTTACCACTGAGCCACCTTCCCAGCCCCGAGAACATTTTTAAATATGTTTCACTTCTGTTTGTTGCTTCGTTAATAATGACACTTTATTAGCAAGATTTCAATCACTTTCGTTTCCAGACTTCTCTTTCAGGCAAGAAGACATACTTGTATTGAAGCAGTTAAATGCAATGAGAAGTTTCTAGAACAGAACCTTAGCCTGGTTTGGGAAACTTAGGAATTCTTCAGGTGTTGTTGAGAAGTGGCATATTTTAGACATCTGCTCTGTGAATGGTGGATGTGGTCATGTAGAAGGCTGGAGCCATATGGCAAGAATAGCACATGTGAATGACAAAGGCCAGATGGATATACTCCGAGTCCTGGAGGGGGTTAGTAAGTAGGGTTCGTCTCAGGACTGAGAAAACTCGTGTTTGTTTAGAGTTTCTCTGACAAGTGGAACAGAAGGTCCTTTGTATTCTTAATTTTTATTTTTTGATGTTAGGGATTGAATTCAGAGTTTGGTGCTAAGCAGATGTTATACCACTGAGCTACAGACCTAGCCCCTCCATTTTTGTTTATTTATTTGATTAAGCTTTTTCTCCCCTCTTGAATAGATGTCTGCCTGCTGAGCAAAGTCCCCAGACCCCCATTTTTGAGACAGGGTTGAAACTAGCCTCAAATTTACAATCCTCCTGCCTCAGCCTCCAAAGTGTTGGGATCACAGCATGCACATTGGCTTCCATGTTTTTTTTTGTTTTGTGCAGGTCCTGGGGCTTGAACTCAGGATCTGGACACTCTCCTTGAGTTTTTGTGCTCAAAGCTAGTGCTACCACTTTGAGCCACAGCTTCATTTCCAGCTTTTTGGTAGTTAATTGAACGTAAGAGTCTCACGGACTTTCCTATCCAGGCTGGATTTGAATCATGATCCACACAGCTCAGCCTCCTACGTAGTAGGAGTAGCTAGGATTACAGCCACCAGTGCCCAGCTTTCTGTGTTATTTTTAAGGTTAACTTCTTACATAATAAGTTGGGAGCCAAGAAGTCTAGTTCTCTTTGGCAGTCAGAATCTTGTACTTCCCTTCTTTTGCTAAAATCAAAATCCTGAGAGTTTGGCCCTTGGAGTTTTCTCAGTAGTACATTTTTTCTTCAGTGCCCTTGGTTTCCAGAATATGCCCAAATGATGTCTGTCGTATATGGAAAAGTGGTGCCAAACTACGTGTTGATATCACATTGCTGGGATTTGAGAACATGAGCTGGATAAGAGGGAGACGTAGTTTTATATTTAAAGGAGAAGGTAAGTGATTCCGTTATAGTAATCATTGCACAAGCTAAATACAGAGTCATTTAAAATTATTATGACTATTATTAATATTATTACTTTGTAGCATAGGACCTCTTGCTTGCTAGGCGGGCACTTTACTGCTGAGCCATGCTTTAGCCCTTTAGTAAGAGTGATTTTGAACCACTAGCACTCGTTCACAGTCATGTATGATACTCTGGAGCTTTGTTGTTGTTTTTCTTATCAGTCATTCAGCTCTCTATCCCTTCTGTCTGGGCTAGTTGTCTTGCCCATGTCATTTATCACACAACACTTAGCTTTGTGACACACGAGACAGCTTGCTTTCCTGGGCATTTGAGTACAAGCTTTCTGTCTTGCATCTCTGTTTTCCTCCATAATTAAACTGATCCTCCCCATGGAGGCTAAAAAATGGCATTGCTCACCTACTGTAGTTGGCAAATTTATATTAATTAATTCTGCAGTAGTATGTTTTATAAGGGTCATAGATGAAATGTGTTGCTAAAGAAAGAATGCAAAGTATTTTTTTTTAATCTGTGTCTTTGGGGCAGAATATTTCAGGGCTTTCTATGTGTAAGTGTTTAGAAAGCTGGCCACATAATCCCAGTGCTAAGAGGTAATCAAGAATCAGTATTCTATTTTTTTTTTTTTTTGGTTGGTCGTGGGCCTGAATTTTGGGCCTGGGAACTGTCCCTCAGCTCTTCAGCTCAGGCTAGCACTCTACCACTTGAGCCACAGC